CGCGGTCACGCAATACCCGTTATCGTCGAAGGTAAAGTTGAAGTCGTGTAGAAGGTGCTCGAACGATTCCCGAGGCGGGAAGCCGTACTGATGAAAGATGGCGTCGGTGTTGTGGAACATGTGCTCTGTGATCCACTCCTTGCCGAGTTTTCGGGTGGCCGGGTCGTTCAGCAGCGACGCGTGCCTCCACGAGGTGCGATTGTGGTCTAGGGAAGGCTGCAAATGGCATATGCATATGTATACGGTGGTTGAGGGCGTACATACCTAGATGTGATACGTGGCGGTCCAGTGATACATCTCGCGAACCAGCGCTTCATGCTCGACGAGTTGGGCCTTCAGCGCTTGGTTCTGAGACTCGGACAGCATACGAAGGTCTGCCAGAGACCTCGCCACTTCATGCCACAGCAGGAGAAGCAGACTCCGGGCTAGCCGTGTGGGGACGGACTTGTGTAGGACAGACGGGATGTGTTCCAACTGGCGGATGGTGCCTTCTAGACCCGACATCTCCTTCTTCTTTTGCTCTCGGTACGACATCATACGGCGGGACTGCTTGTCATCTCGCGGCCGAGCCTGCAACGACGAGGATGTCATCGCTTGTACAGTACTTAACGTCGGAAGGAGAAAATGGAATCCAGATTGCGGTGGACCAATCGGATGAAGGTGTTAAGTATTCATTCAATTTGATTGGCGCAGAAGCTATACAATCTGAACGAGACGTCCGATTTTTAGCTTTTAATCCACATTACAGTAGACCTCTTACTCATAGATGAGAAGTATGACAGTCTACAAATCAGCTGATAAGCTTCTCCACATACTGGTAAAGCAGTTCTACTTTGCCCGAAAATGTAGTCTTCGGCGAGAAGCATGGGACTTTTACGTGGACATCAACCTTTTTCCGAAAGACAATTCATGTCCTTGAAGGGTATTTGACCCTAAATAAGCCTGAATACACCTAATTCATGTGCTTTTTAAGGCAATTGTGTTCATTTTATAACATATATACCTGCCATCTTCCGTTATTTATCCAGCACTATTTCTTTTAAAATTCCTAAACGACACATTGTCCTAAATGGTCCAAATTCCGAATTACACGATAAAACTACTGTTTCCATCTTCATTGTCGAGCCAAGTTCGGTGTCGCTTCCAGGCAAATCACGAGGAAAAGTATTCTCCGAAGCTAAAACCATACTCAACCTCACCTTTCTCTTTGACCTGTACGCCTTCCCAGCGGCTCTCTTCGTCTTGATGATCTTTACGCCGATTTCGTTGAGTCGATTGATGTACTGGGCATTGGCATCACCATCTTCTGCACGCAGGGAATGGAGACGGACATCGACGTTGGTCAGGGCCAAACACGCTTGGAACACGAAGTCGTAGCTCTAGCGGCTCCAACGGTACGTACCGCGCTACATGTGGCCCAGAGTGTCTTCAACCGACCAAAGTAGTTCTCAAAGATGATGCGATCGCTGGCAATACGGTCATTATTCGCTTGCTCGGCAAAGGTGAGTACTGATTTTGCCTATCTTGTTTTTTGTATGCCCTTATAAATTGTCGCAACATACAATCACATGAATGGTTGTTACTTCTTGACAACCACGAATTTGGTTGTTCTGGAATATGCTACGAATCTGCCACACTGCCCTGAACAACATAGCTAAAAAG